TTGGGATTAGCCATGGTGTTACTTATAGGGTAACTTTGTGAATTTAATTGCTATATAGATAGCATATAATTTATTTCTTTCCCTCATATAGATTGCTTACAAATTTTTGCTATTAAAAACAGTGTTACAGGGGGCCGGCCTGGTGGCGTAGTTGTTGAGTTCACATGCTCTGCTTCGGCTGCCCGGGGTTCACGGGTTCGGATCCCTGACGTGGATCTACATACTTCTCATCAATCCATGCTGTAGCAGCATCCCACATACAAAATAAAGGATGATTGGCACGGATGTTAGCTCAGAGCCAATCTTCCTCAGCAAACAACAACAACAACAAAAAACAGTGCTACTGGTTTAACAATTTATGCTCACACCAGAATTGCTTAAAATCTGTTTCTCAACCTTTCTCCAATTTTTTGAATTGCCAGACCTTTTAATTTTGGCCAATCTGATGGGTATGAAATGATATTCCATTGTGGTATTGATTTGGATATTTTTAATGCTATTTAGATTTCCTCTTCTATTAAATTTCCTGTTTATATCTTTGGCCTGTAATTCTTTTGGGTTGTTTGTGGTTTTCTCACTGAATGGTGGTTGTTAATTTATTCTGAATACAAATCTTTTGTTAGTTACATGAGTGTCAAACTCATCCCCCTAATTTTTGGTTTGCCTTTTCACTTTGTTTATGGTGTCTTTATCCATGCTGAAGCTTTAATTTATAAGTTAGTTACATGCATTATTTATTTTCTTTAATTTTTGCCTTTTGTGTCTTAAGAAATAATTCATACCTCAACATCATAAGGGCATTCTCCTATGTTTTCTTATGATAGTTTTATATTTTTTTTGTGTGTATGTAGGTCTTTAATCCATCTAGAACTTATTTTTATGTATGCTGTTAAATGGAGATCTAATTTTATTTCCCCCCGTATGGATATCTGATAGTCTCCACCTCATTTATTGAATAATATGTCTCTTTTCACGGATGCTAATGCAACCTATACCATTTACAAAGTCCCCAAATATATGTGAGTCTGGATCCAGGATTTCTATTCAGTTACATTTGTTTATTTGTCAACATCTGACTCTGTACAACACTGTTTTAATTACCGAAGCTTTATAAGAAATAAGTGTCCTTCTCTTGCTTGTGTATAAAATGATCTGAGCTATTCATGGCTCTGTACTCATCCATATAAATTTCAAGATCAATTAATAAAATTCCATTAAAAAATCCCTGTCAGGATTTGATTTGAAGTGCACTGAATTTAGAGAATATTTCAGTCCCTCATACTTTTCATATCCAAAACTGTTTATTATAGTTTTGTTGTTTTGTACAGATAACGCTTTAGATTTACCCTATATGTTAAATGAATTGATACATAGTATTGCTTTTTGCATGCCCCGCTTCCTTCAGAATTCCATTTTCATCTGCCTGAAGTACACTCTTTGAAATTCTTTCAGTGAGGGTCTGTAAAATGGTAAAGATATTTTTGTCTTTGAATATTTCTTTATTTTGCCATCAATCTTTGCAGTGAATACTGGGAGGCACTACCCAGATCCCTCTTCAGAAATGAAGGATTTATTCCCTGAGCTGCTGGGAGTTCAGTGAGCTGAGACAATTTAGTTGTCAGCCCTCTTCGGAAGTAGTCTAGCCCAAGCTTATCCCTACTTCCCTTGTCAGCCCACATCCAATGACCGATGTCACAGGTGTATAAAGGCTGAGTCCACTTGCCTCAACTCTGAAGGAACATTCCAGATTTGAAGTCAAGGCCTTCACTGAGACTATACTGCAGGCCAACTCTTCCCTCTGTCCAATCCTGCTACTCTCCCTTCCTCAGGTGTCATTCCCAAAGCATTGTCTAATAAACTCTCTATCCTTGTCTCTGACTCAGAGTATGCTTCCAGAGAAGCTAACCTGAGATAGTTGATGTCAGGGATGAGTCAAGAAAGTAGAAGCTATGACAGGATTTTTGACTTGAATCATTGGCCACCTGACTGTCAGTGAGAACCTTTACATTGGTGATAGATGGAGGACAGATAGACCTTGGCACAAGGTAACAGTGCAACAAGTAAAACTTTCATTAGTAGTGAACTGGGATGTATTCTAATGGAAGGTAATATATTAGTGGGTGCAATGTGTCAGGCATTTAAGAAATATGAGGGAAATAGTAACCTTAAGGACAGGGGAATTGGCTGTTGCTAAGCAAAATTGATTCTTTGGAAAAAGCAAAAAGCTGAGAATTGTTAATGGCTATTAAAAATCTCAGAGTAAAATTCAGAAGGCTTCTCTGGTAGCAAATAAAGAGGCTTTTATCTCCTGCAGTGGGAGGGCAGAAAAAGCTGAGGAACAGACCCAACACTTAATCATATGTGTGGCTGAGCTCCAAAGGAGATTAATAACCATGCAGCCCAGCTAGGTTGGCTATGCCAAGGTCGGAAAAAAAATCTCTGATGCGATGGGCTGGGTTGTGACTCCTGAAAATCTTGAATCTCTAGATTCTCCTGAATCCTCTGAGTCTGAACATGGTCCAATATTCCTGATTAACGACTAGTATCCCTCCCACCCTCTTGCTTAAACACGAAGAGGCCTCCTCCTTGTAGTACAACCTGTGCTCCCTTCAGGATCCGCCCTCTGCTTCCCTCCTGGCCACTGGGTCAATAACTTGGCTTTCTTTACAATGTAACCTGGCACAACTATTGTCACCAGTGGCAGGGGAAGAGTGGCAATGAGGGAAAGGGGTCTCACCCTCAGAAGATTAGAGAGATGGATAACAGGATAAGGTGTCCCCAGGAGCAAAATGGATGAGCAGCAAACAAGGATACTGCTGAGTCTGTACAATCAAAGGAAATCAAGGGAGTGCATGACCAGCAGCCTGAGAGCAACATTCCAATAATGAGCTACAACTCTTTGCCCAGTTTTTAAGTCTGAGCCAGTTTTTGGATCTGGAAACCATCAATGGGGAAAAGACAATCCCCACAAGGAAGGCCCTGAAATATTATAAAATGTGTACAATGTAATAATTCCCTCAGTCCTTCCCCAGAGAGTTCTTTGCAATTTCCCTGGATAACTATATGTTGAGAAAATGAGAACACCAAAACACTTCCCAATGGAATGGCAGATATAGGAATTCACCTGCCTTCTAGTAAGCTTTACATTAAAGAGATTTGCAAAATTGTAAAACAGTACCACTCTTCTATGTTTCATGTTTGGGGAAAATGCAGCTTTTTTTTCATATAAATTTATTTATATTACTATGTAATAGATGTATGAGTTTTTTTTAATGAATTAATAAATACTTTAAATTTTATGTTTTAATTTTTTATATGGTAAATATCAATAGATACAATGCACAAAAACAAAAGCTTGCTAGGGTTTTCAGTTTTTAAGAGTTTTTAAGGGATCCTGAGACCAAAAAGTCTAAAAACTGCTGCAACAGACAATATCACAAGCCAAACCATCTTTGTAATCTTGGAGAAAGTTGCATAGTCTCTGCTCAAGTTTCCTCACGCGTAGATTTAGGAGTTAAGAATACTTACACATGTAAAGTAATTAGAATGCTAGGAGCACAAAATGATATATAGCCATTACTGATACTATTCTATTTTCTCTGTGAAATAGGAGACGATAATATCTGCTGAAATTGATGGAGGAAGTGATGGAAAGTTGAGGAAAGGGGAGAAGATTTGATAAAGCCATGTGGAGAATGGGGATGATAGATCTGATCAGGAAAATATACAAGGATTGAAGGGCAATTTTGAAAGCCTTGTGGAGGTCGGTGACTTTGGATCTAGCATAAAATCATGATTGTGTAATTTTTTTCCTTAACACTCAGAAGTCCAGTGTAGGAAAGAAAAGGCAAGCTGTTGAATTCACAGAGTTGGGAATGTTCCAGTTGGTTTAATCAGAAAGTAAATAAGGCAAACTGTGATTGACATGATGAACTGTGTTTTATAAATTGAGGAAAAAAAGAAAGCAGAGAGATGATCCATAGGGAGGAAACAGGTCAAAAGATTTGAACTTTTCATTAGGAGGGGAAATTGAGTAAGAGAGTTGGTAAGATAGGAGGTTGGGTAGTTGGTTGAATTTTGGACTTCAGTGGTGGAGTATATCCACCTCATGACAAGACCTGGAGTGTGGTCATGAGAGTGGGGGACCTGTAGAGGAGTGGAGGTGAGGGCTATTGGAGATGAAAAAATCAAGAACCCGAGAGCATGGGTCTTCCATTTGGATGTTAATGTGACTCTGAATGATGGCAGAAGTTGGAAGTCAGGTTTCAAAGTTTTCCATCAATAAGGAGTGGGTAAAAAATAGCAATGATGAGGATTAAAAGTGGTATGGCTACCTAGAAAGGAGGAAGAACTATCTGAGTGAGGCACTGGAGAGCACCTCCTAATCAAGAGATGAAGGTTGAGAAAATAAGCACCCTTCAGTTCAGAGAAGTTTAAAGCAAGCAGTCTTTGCAAGGGAGAGGATGTTAGGTTTCAATTAAGGACAGGCAGAACACACGCTAGAGGCCCAGAATGTGGGAGAATTTGTCACAAAAGATTGGAATTCCAAAGGGCACAGTGGACACAGAAGACAAAGGAGGGGAGTACAGAACTTCACCAGGCAACTAAGGGCGCAGCTTGTGCAGTAAACATGAAGTGGGTTGTGAGGCACAAAAGATGCAGGTAGCAGAAAGTTTCCAATATAATTAGGCAAGAATTTTTCTGTTTGAGTTAACTGATCCAGTACCAAGTTTGTGAGTTCATTTCCCTCTTCCTTTTAGATTTTTCTCTTCCTTATATTTCTCCTTTTCTGAAAAATAAAATTGAGGGGGCTTTCCTATCCCCTTTCCTCTTTCGTTTCCCCATTTTTCTGCTCGCCAGCATCCTCTGTCTTCCCCTGGCAGGTCCTCTGCCCTAGATTGGGAGCCCCGCCCCCCGCAGGAGTGGGCGGGACAGGGGCGGAGCGAACAGAAGTGGGCGGGCCCTTTTCTGTCGGCGTGCTGCCGTAAGGGCGCTGCTGACGTAAGAGGATATCCGGTCCGGCTCTCAGTGTCCGAAACTGCTTCTGTCTGACCTGCCGGGGTCTTGGTAGCTTCTTACCGGGAGTCGTTGTCCACGAGTTGGATCTGCTGCTGCGGCGGGCCGGCCTCACACCACTCCCTGCCCCTCTGGCCCCGGAGTGAGCCCGGCCTCCGCGCGAGGGTGAGCGAGGTCGGCCCGGCGCGCGAGGGAGGGTGTCCCGCGGGAGGATGACGGTTGTCGGTTCCCCGAGCCGCGTGGCACCTCTGCTCAGTCTCCTCTGGACGCCGCCTTCACCCCGCTGGGTCCCCACTGCAGACTTTCCCTGCGAAGCTGCAGTGACCCCGTGCCTGTTTCCTCCTTTGGTGACACGGGCCGCGTCCTGATGAAGCTCGAGCGTTGCTGGAGATAGGGCTTAAATTCATATAAGGCTGAGAAAAAGAATTCACTCTTAAGTTTCCAAAACAAACTGGAGAAAAAAAAAAAAATTGAGGCTCAGCTGTCTGAGCGGATTCACCCCTGGAGACGCAGAAAATTTATCCGGATCATTACCCCATGATTATGTTCTGAGCTCCTTTGGCATGGCAGTACACATTTTTTTCACCCTGTAGATTTTGTCATTTTAAATACGGGAAGGGTGACCTGGTGGGCTTAAGTAACCAAACCTCCTGGCCTGATTTGTCCATGTTTTTAAGTCGCAACTTCCCACCACTAGGTTTTTGGTTGGACATTGTAACAGGAGTTGAACCCGAAAGTAGGAAAACTTTATGAGTGACCTTCAACTATTGTTTCAAGTACAAGCTGGTGCATGATTTTGCTGTATTGTAATATGCCCTTTTGAATGAGAAATATAAATTTCTTTGAGGTGTGCTTTCTTGGAACTCTCTCCATGTATTCTGGACATGGTTTGGTTTGTTTGCCTAAGAATGTTCGTGTTTTCAGGGAGGCTGTGTGTCATGGTCACCAATGAAACTCGGTCCTGTCTTTGGAGGTTTAGAGTTTGTGGATCTTGAGTAGGGCCTAGAAGATAAATCTGTATTTTTAGGAATTTCTGCAGTTGTTTTTTGAGAATCACTCTTAGAAAAGACTTAGAAATTTGAGATTCATATTTCAGAGCAAGACATAGACTCATTTATTTGTGTATCTCTTCAGTTATTGAATGCTTAGTGTATGGCTGGCAGGGCTGGGAGGCAAACATTGCCAAGAAAGATAGGGCTGGAATCCTCAGGGAACTTGTAATCTTCACATTGGATGAAAAGCCAAATAAAAATGTGTTATTTAGTAAAACTGTTGTTTTTCTAAGTCTGGTAGTTCCTTCAACGAGGGATGAAAGCTGGTTTTAAAGTCCTTATTTTGATATGTGTGGGAAATATATACCCTGAAACATAAATTTGAACCCTGTTAAAATTATATGGCCCCTGCATGTAGAGAGAAGGGCAGCTTTCAGAGTCAAAGCAACTATAATACCTTTAATATGTCTTCAGAGAGTATAGTTTGGCTTTGTAATTAATGTCATTTGAGTTGACTGTTAGATGTTTTATTTAGATATTGTATAGAAGAAGTAAGACTTGTTATACTTCAACTCTTGGCAGCATCAGGTTATCTAAATATAAAAGTCAAAAAAGTGATAGAAACTGGGTAACTAATATACTTTTGAATGATTTCTTGTTAATGATATATGCCTAATAATTTTTTTTAACTTGGTACAAAATAATTTTTAAAGAACACTTAACATCAGCGAAACTTGTTTTTTCTCAATGGGAAAAGAAAACTATTTTGGCTTTTAGGATACATTTTTTGGATACTCACATTTTTAGAATTGTTTTGTAGTGCAAGTAAGTGCCTTGTTTTATAAGTCATCTATTTTTATTTGGGATAATGTATGCTTAATGTTTTGTAAAGACTTAAAAATGTGCCTAACCGTCAAAATGACAGGGTTGAGTTAAAATTTAATGAGAATAAGAACACTTCATTCTGCTATTTCTTAGTTTATTTAAAATAGCAAAGCAACCAGGCAATTATATCTTTTCTGATCTCTTGTGTAGAAAGAGGGGGAAAATGCCTAAAAAAAAGACTGGTGCGAGGAAGAAGGCAGAGAACCGCCGGGAACGTGAAAAACAACTAAGAGCATCAAGAAGCACCATAGATTTAGCTAAACACCCGTGCAATGCTTCAATGGTAACGGCTTTTTTTGATATCACTTGATAGTTGAAAAACTATGTAATAGTTACCTGAAAAATACCTGAATAAAATTTCATTGAATACAGTGTTGCTGCATATATTTAACTGAATTTGAAATCTGTGTTGGAGGCATGTGTATTATTTTCATTAACGCTAGGTAGCAGTGATTTTTCTTTAACTTTGTTATTTATAAAACCTAGCATATTAGCTTGGCTACTGTTGGTGATAGGTACTGAACAAGAATACACGCTAGGAACTGTGTGATGTTTTCCAGCTACTCTACCCTTATAGGCCCGAACACAATTTGTCCTATTAGTTGGAGCTTTTTTTCATTTTCTCTTAGCAGTTCTTAGCTCATCTGATTTCTCTTTTGTAAACTTTCCACTTTTCTTGATGTCTCTTGGTTTCCTGTTCTACTACCTTATTTCTCTGTACCGAGTGAGTTAGTCCTGACCGTTTCTGGGCTCCTTTGTCAAGGTTGTGAAAAAGCAAAAGGTGGTTATGTCATCATTGCCCCTTTCCTTTCTTTGACCGTGGGTCTCTGTGTGGTCCCACATTTCCCTATTTCCACTCCTGTCTACTTTTTCTATTCTCGCTACTCCCCTTTTTTCTTTGTCTTTTGTTTTCATCAAACACATATGGAAGTGCTTAATATGATTTAATTCCATAAATGTTTATTGTGCATCTACTCTGTGCCAGGTGCTATTTCAGGCACTGTGGGGGATACAGAGATGAATGACACAGCCCTTGTTTCCACAAGCTTATAGCTCAGTCATTTTGTGTATTACTTAAGACTTGTTTGTTTATAAATGACAAATCCAACTTAAATAACTTTAGGGAGAAATAGAGTTTATAAAATGAATAATGGACTAACATGTAGTTGGGAAGGCTGTAGCTGGGACACAGGGACAGCTGGAACCTGGAAGAACCTTGTAGTTCCTTCTTTTGCTTTTGTTTCTTTTTGCTTATCAGTTCCATTTTCTCAGGTTGTCTTACTCCATTTGTTTGGGTTTATAGCTGGCATGTCTCGTTTCACGTGTTGTTGCCCTCAGAGAGGGAAAGAACTCTGATAATTCAGACTTGGGCAGGTGCCCATTCCAGGACTCACGTTTATGGTGGTGGGGGAGCTGGATGACGTAGCACAGATAGGACAGTGGGAACTTCCTTCTGTGTGTCATCGTCATTTCTAGAGAAAAGCGGTATGGGGCAGACAAAACAAGAAGTGACTCACATAAATACATATAAAGAGGGCTAGACTTTGGTTAAGTGTTACAGTAAAGGTACAATTAGAACTAAGATACATTAGGACTAGGAGGTGATAAAGTTGAGTGTGTGGAATGGGGTACAGTTCACAGGGGAGGTGGGATCATCACCAGAGCTTCCAACATACTAAAGATTGTGAGGAAGGACTTTTCAAGGAAAGTCATTAGAATAAGTAAGGCATGGAAAAGAGTACAGGACATATTTCAAGAATGGCTGACAAATAGTGACTTGAGTCTGAAGAGAATAGGCCAGCATGGTTTAAAAAGTGGTTTGGGACCAGACTACGTTTAGGATTCTGGATTTTCTGTGAGCTTCATCGTATTGTGTTCTCTACTGTTTCTTGTGTCCATTCTGTATTATTTGTCTGATTTCTTAAGAAAAAAATGCAAAAAACAAACCAACGCTATATTTAGCCTCTTTGTGAAAATGCCACTTCTTTGTCTAGCACGGTGTGCCTGGGAGCATACCTTTGTTATTCAAGTATATGTAGATGCTTGTATACATGGGTGAAGTTGAAGGATTTTGGGAAAGTGTCACTTAAATTTTTACATGAAAAACAGGATATTCTTTATAATGCAAGTAAATTTGCAATTTTTAGCTGGTAGAAAATTAATGTTATGTTTTTGTATTTTACAGGAATGTGACAAGTGTCAGAGGTAAATATTTATTTCTTTTTCTATCGATATTTAATAATATAGACCCTCTGACCTTTTATTTGATATTAACTATATTTTAAATTTTATTTTACATGACAAGGCGGCAGAAGAATAGAGCGTTTTGCTATTTTTGTAATTCTGTACAGAAGTTACCAATTTGTGCACAGTGTGGTAAGTATGTGAAAACTAAGGACACATACCTTTTCTTTTATCAAACATTTGTTTGGCGGTTAATCAGTTTGAACCTGTGGGTTTGTCATTATTGTTTACAAAATGTTTTGCCTTACCATTAATAAAATAACGTAAAATGTTACTTGGCTTACCAGCATACTGTCTTGATTTTGTCTCTTTGATGTAGTGTGGGAAAATAAGATACAATTTAGATATATCTAAACATGTTACCAACATGTTGTTTTAAACATTAAAAGATCAGACTTCAGACTAATAACATTTGATGATCCTGAGTATTAATTATACTACCTTAGTCTTGTTGATATCCATTTGTTTACTTTTCTAAATTTTGATTCCTGCTGATATCGCACGCAGTATATTAGACCACTGAGAATAATTTTGTTCCACAGTTACCTGGTGCCAGTTTTTGTGATCAGCTGTTTTTGTCTTCGGCACTTCGCATATGAATCTTGAGTTTCCTCATATATATTCCCAAGCAAATGAAATCGAGTTCCTAAGCCACGTACTCAGTTCCCAAGTATAAGTGGAAACTTTCATTCAGAGTAAATGATTGTTCAGAATAAAACTAAATGGTAGTTCATAGAACAAGATTGGTGTTTCCCAAATGTTCTTCCACAGAATACTTGAGATTTTAATAGGTATTTTTTAAAATGATGCATACATTTGAGCAACGCTGCAAGTTTCATCCCCTCCTTTCCATCTGGGTGATTTCTATTACATATTTATATGTTAAACATACTGAAGACCTCCAGAAAAAAACCTGATTAATTTTATTCATTCCAGATTTACTCCCTAAACTTTTATTTGAACAAATATCCCCTTTGGTTATGGGATAATAGTTTCAGGTAGAACAGAGTTTGGAATATGCTCATTTAAATGTGTTTATGTATGATAACATTGCAGAAAGTTAGGAATATTTAGGGCTACTTCCCTGAATATTTCTAATGTAGTTCTAGCTTTCAAAGAAGATGTCTTTGAGGTTTATATTTAATGAAAAAGAGAATACTGGCCTAGATAGACCACTCATCTGCCAGTTTTTACATCCTTATTTTATAAACGATAAATGAATATAGAGTGAGAAAATAGATTACGGAGAAGATTAAGTTCCTGCTAGGAAGTTCCCGCATTCTCAGGGTGTCTGGGCTTGAATTTTGTAGCACTTTGTACGTGGATGCGTTTCCCACTTACTGATTCTTGTACTTAGTGTTAGTCATGGAGCAGTTGGATAGCTGCTGCCTCTCATTTCCAGTTTCTCTTTTCGTACTATTTCCTGTTGTCTAGCTTTGTTCCCCAGGTAATCAGGATAATGGGAAATTGAGCATCTTCTATTTCTTTCATGTTCCACTTTGGAGTCTGAGATGGGTGATTAATATGTCACCATTAATCTTCACATACTCTATGATAAGGGAGTTTCCTGACAGTGTTTCGGGTTGGTAATTTCCTGCTTGATCAAAGCTTGTATGGCTATATTGTGATTTTTAGCTCTATCACTATACTCCTGTTTTTTTGCTCATTTTTATGTATGGGTAGACTTAAAAAAGAACCAGGTAAGTTGCCTAATCATTATTTGGTTTGGTTTGAAATGTTCTCTGGAAAGAAATAAGCAATAACTTCAAACCAGACTGTTTTTATTGTGAATTATAAAATGTAAAATTCATTTTAAAGCATAGCTTTTTAAAATATAATTCATCTGAAAATTCTCAAGATTTTAAACTGCTATAATTATCGTTCCCATCTGTTGATTGTCATACTGTGGCAGCTGTGTGTTGCTGTGATGCCACCAGTATTTCAAATACCAGCAGGGTCACCCATAGTAGACAGGTTTCAGCAGAGTTTCCAGACTAAGACAGACTAGGAAGAAGGACCTGGTCACCCACTTCTGAAAAAATTGACCATGAAAACCCTATGAACAGCAGCAAAGCATTCTCTGACGTAGCCCCAGAAGATGAGAGGATGGCAAAAAAAGACCAGGCAGAGTTCTGCTCTGTTGTACATAGAGTTGCTAGGAGTCGGAATTGACTCAACGACACTAACAACAGATAACAATTGTTAGATTGCAAAGTATAACCTACAATTGCTGATTTTAGTACAAACATGAATTAGCATATAGCTTTATTGTGCAATACATTTTTGCAGATTTATTAATAAATTTCTAATCTGAAAAGATAGGACTTGGTAACAAGATCTCAGTTATATCCATTTTCTTTTTTTAGTTATGTAAGCAATAAAAAATGCTGGTTTCTATCCATTTATTTTCAAATGATTTCCATAGGAACTTAGGCTAGATAAAAAGAGGAATTAGTGAATACTTGCATGTACTACTTTGCAAGACTAATAGTGCAAATTTGTTTCTTTACTAGGGAAGACAAAGTGCATGATGAAGTCTTCAGATTGTGTCATAAAGCATGCTGGTGTATACAGTACTGGCCTTGCAATGGTGGTAAGTTTCTTGTCCTCATCTCTTAGACTAGTAGGTTTCCAAGCATAGGAAAAAGTCACTCTGACCAATGGTTATTTTTTTCTAAATAGCATTGCTCTGTTCTTTGGTTCAGTCAATGTGGAGCTATCTAGATTACCTGTGGCATGTTCTTTGTATGATTTTTCTTTATTACTCACTTGGTTTTGACTACTTCCTTTTTTCTTATTGGGAAACATACAAGGAATGGAAACTAATTTAATGTTGACTTAAACAAAAATTTATTTGTCGATAATACCCTTCTAATGTGTCTTAATTAGATTTCATAGGATATTGTTTATTATACTAAAAGTCCTGCTTAACCAAGGTTCAAGCTTTTGATTAAATAAGCAACCTAGTTCCAAAAGAACCTAGGATTAGGAGGTTTTTTTAAAGCTTTACATTTCAAAAAAGAGTACATAACACAGAGTTATATGTAATTTCTTCATTACATATAGAATTTTCTAAGCAAGTTTATTGTTTTAAATAATACAAACAATTGCATTGTGTGATGCCTTTTATTCTCTTTTTCACTAAACAAGGTATCCTTTTAACCAGTTTTATTGTATTCTGTTGCGTGATTTTATGCTTAGGGCCAAAATTTCTGTCCACCCGGAAAGTAATACTATTTTTACATCCAGCAGAATATTTTATTTATAGTAAACTTTTCAAGAACTTAGAAGTTTCCATCATGAGGCAGACCTTTATATATTTCATGTGTGATGTCTTATAAAAGCAAGGAGCTAGAATTATTCATAATCATCTTGTGAATTCTTCTTTATTTTAAATATAGGATTGTCAATGTTATCTTTATTCAAAAACCATTGGAATCTTCCTTGGTAGCTTGCTTATCTCTAAATTTATCACATACTTTTTAAAAAAATTCACTGAGTGTGAATGATCTCTTCTTATATAAAGAAAAAGTTTAAGTAGAATGATCTATCATTAGCTATAAATTCTAGAAAATGATTTTCTGTAAATCTTCTATTTGCCTGTTGAGATTCCCTCTCCCTTCACTCTTCTCCACCCTGCTTTGCCCTGGGAGCTTGACCTGAGTGTATGGACTGGATCAATGGCTTTCTTACCTTATGGCTTCCTTTGGGTTCAGCCAGTGGAGGATGCTGGCAGGAGACCTGAAGATGGGAGTAGAATACAATCTGGGTGTTTATTCTCCCAGCTCACTCCCTACCCGGTTGTCCTGGTTTGGACATAGATTGGCCACAAGTCCTCTCCATATGGCCAGGTAGTCCCCTCCACTCGACTTTCTCTTGGGGTTCTGGTAACTCCCTCCCCTTCTCTTGTTTCAGGCCCAGGGCTGGTAACTGCATCATGCCTTGATGTTTTTTCTAAGCCCTTCCCTGTCCTTTGTAAATCATCTCTTTTCAACTCTCCTGGATTACCCGGTTTAGTGTGCCATCTCTTTGTTGCTAGAACCCTGAGTGAGCCAAGAGATATATTTGAGGATTTGCTATCTACACCGATAATCCATTTTTAAGTCAAAAAACATTCTTTCTGTTTTCTCTTTACCACTTTTGTTATACAGCCTTGAATAGTAGAACACTGAATTGAGATTCAGAAGACCTGGATTTAAATCTCAGCTCAGCTGTAATGTAGCTCTGGGATTTGGACTTAGTCTTGGGCCACTTTGCCTCATCTGTAAAGGGAAGGGCATCCAGTCCCATTTCCTTAAGATTCTTTCTAGCTCTTAATGTTCTGTAGATGTCATTGTGTTATTGAAAGGTAGAGTCTTACCATCTTATCTTGATATAGAATTGGAGAGTCTTACCGTGTCATTTAGTTCTGTGTATTTTACCGTAATTTTTTTCCACAAGAGAATGTAATAATGATTTAAAGCATAGGTTGCCTTAAAAGAAAAAAGAGGCTGGTAGAAGTTTAATATTTTCTCTTGGCTATTCTAGAAAAGCTGTGTGATAATTTTGTAAATTACACAGATAAGAAGGAATTTTCTTTAGTCAGAAATATTAGTATTTGAAAAAATTCAGTTTGGTTACTGGACATAGAATGCTTAAACTGTGGACTCCAAACTTCATTTGAATTAGAATTCAGTTTGATGGCAACAATTCTAGCTCCTTGAGTTACTTTAATCATGAACGTTAGGATAAGTGTATAGTTTCCCCCTTGCTCCTTTTTCTTTTGCTTTATAGCTAAGATTTTTATATTGTAAATGGCTGTTGGTAAAGTAGTTTGATTTTCAGAGAACCCTCTTTGATTTTGGCTTAGAGTAAATGGTAAAATTTTTTCTTTACTGAAGCCACCCACTATCACTGAGGGTTGATAAATTGCTAAATGTATACAATTTTGATGGTTGCCGTTGGTTAAATAATGGTTGCAGCCAGTCAAGTGATAGAGATTAATTTTTCGTGTTCCTCTGTTGCAGGGCGCAATATGTGACTTCTGTGAAGCTTGGGTTTGTCATGGTAGGAAGTGTCTCAGTACACACGCCTGTGCCTGCCCTCTCACTGACGCTGAGTGTGTGGAATGTGAACGAGGTGTCTGGGACCATGGTGAGTGATTACTTAAAAGCAGCGAACTTTGCTATAAGTGAAGGCTGGCTTTGAAACATTCTGTATGCTTTTTTTCAGATTTTTTCAGGATACTGTTAATCCTAACTGCTGGCACTGTTTTGATTATCAGTTTAGTTGGAAAAGGGATTTAAACTAGCAGTAATAGTCAATGCTAGGATTGTTTACCTAAGCAGACAGGGAGGGGAATTATGAGAGAGTAGGTGTCTCCGAGCATTGTGAGTATTATATGAGTAGCCAGGGGATAGTGGGAGTTCACTTTTTTATGGTTCAATTTGGCAGTTTTCATTGTAGCCTTTACTAGAATGAAAACTGCTGTGACATTTTGGTGTAAATCTGAAATAAGTTGCCATCTTTTCTGAGCAGTTGTATAGATACGAGTTTTTTAAATTAAAGTTCATCATATTTACATTTGTGGGTTTTGTTTTTTAATCCAATAGGAGGCAGAATATTCAGTTGTTCTTTTTGCCATAACTTTCTCTGTGAAGATGATCAATTTGAACATCAAGCCAGCTGCCAGGTTTTAGAGGCGGAAACATTTAAATGTAAGTTTTTTATATATTAGATATTCTTTTTACCTATGATTCTTAGTAGTATGAGTGTTAAACTTAGTGAAAAAGGAATCTAGTTTTTCATGCAGCCTCTTATGGACTGACTATAATTTAACTTACTATCTATTTTTCGTTTCTAGAAAAAATTCAGAACACATAATCCATTTTTTTTCAACAAGGGTTCCAGTGGCATTTTGGTTGGGTCAGTTCTTCATTTTGTAGGGTTGATCAAGCGTTACAGGACTGGTAGCATTCCTGTTCCTGAGAACTAAATGTCATTTTCACCTCCAAGTTATTATAACACACCCCCTCCCACACACACACATTTCCAAATGCCCCCAAGTAAGTGATACCACCCCTAGTTTGTTCCCGCTAGTTGGTGCCAGTGATTCCAAGAGAGGAGTATGCATCAGAAACACCTGTGTAGGTTTTTTAAAAATACAGGTACCCAGGCCTCATCCCTGGAGATACTGTCTCTTAAGTCTGTGGTGAGTGCCGGGCATATGTATTTAACCTGCACACATAATCCTTAGGTATCTTTCAGTTTGAAAACCAGTGTTACTGACTGGGTCAGTGGTTTCATCTTTACAGATAGATTGCATTTTACTTCTACTCTATTGATTCTCAAAAAGCTCAAATTTTAGAGTTAAACATTACTTGAATTCTCCCTATTGGCTATATGACTGGGCAAATCACCAAATCTTTCTAAACCTGAGTTTCCTTATTTGTTAAAGGAAGATGCTAATTTCTTTTTCAAAGACTTAATTGAAATGAGAATCCATATAAAGCGTTAGTATAGTACCTGGCACTTAGAAAACCCTTATTAAACAGGTAGATATCATCATGGGAAGGACTGAAATTCCCCAGATACTCACTTCCTTGAATTTGATTCTTCTTCTGGTATGAAACGCTAATCTTTATATTTATCTATAAATTTAAAGTTGCTAAGTCATCAATCTAAGATATATACATATATTATATGTATAATATATGTATATATCTTGAAATATTATGTAGGAATTCTCGAAGGATAAAGGAACGTTTCAAAGTATATAGCATTTTTGAGCCATTCTTAGGCTTCTGCAGAATGTATAATATAAAAACTGAATTATTTCATTTGGGGCTTGGGAGCTTTGCACATTTTATAGTGTTTGAACCCCAAAGACAGGTAACTGTGAGTGATAAGTTTGTAATTCCATCAAGAAGTTCTAGGCCCGGTGGCGCAAGCGGTTAATTGTGCGTGCTCCACTGTGGCGGCCCGGGGTTCGCTGGTTCGGATCCCGGGTGCGCACCGATGCACCACTTGTTAAGCCATGCTGTGGTGGTGTCCCATATGAAATGGAGGAAGATGAGCACAGCTGTTAGCCCAGGGCCAGTCTTCCTCAGCAAAAAAGAGGAGGATTGGCATTGGATGTTAGCTCAGGGCTGGTCTTCCTCACAAAAAACAAGCAAAAAAAAATTCTAGTGATTTAGTGATAAAAGACAAAGGAAAAATACAAAAATTGAGTAATTGACAGGATTTTAAGATAAATCTATCACCATGTCTTTGATACCGGTTTTTTTTTTTTTTTGTGAGGAAGATCAGCCCTGAGCTAACATTTGCCAATCCTCCCCTTTTTTTGCTGAAGAAGACTGGCCCTGGGCTAACATCCATGCCTATGTTCCTCTACTTCATATGGGACGCCGCCACAGCATGGCTTGACAAGCGGTGCGTTGGTGTGCGCCGGGGATCTGAACCGGCGAACCCCAGGCCGCTGCAGTGGAACGCGCGCACTTAACCACTTGCGCCACTGGGGCTGCCCCGATACCTGATATTAAAGTCATTCTCATTGCAGATTCACAGGTTTCTTTGGCTTACTCTAATTTATCCTCTTTCTTTATTTTTTTTTCAGTGCTTTATTTATTCTTTGTCGTTCTCCCTTCACTGGTTGCCGTCCAATACTTGAAATTTTTTTTCTGAAGTACTGTCCTAATCATACACATAGGCCCCAAAGATATAGAGTTTGTTTCCACTCACTTAGTTGGTCATATCTCATCATTTATAGAGTTGACCTTACAATGAAGGGATGAATTGGGATATTTAGAAATTCTTTAAAATAGTTGTTTACTTGCATAATCGGGGGGAAGGATGTTTAAAGGGGAAAAAAAAACCTCACGTTTACTCTGCCTTTAGTTTTTTAAATAATTAAAATGGCCCAGGGTCTTCTGATTTAAAATGGCTTGTTGCCAGCAGGCTTTGATGCATCCCCACCTGCTTTCTTTTAAAATACTCTGAAGACGTGGAAATAGACTTAAAAAGAAAACCGTTTCCCAATCTAAAACTAGGAAAGTCAAACTATTTTTAGAATCTGGGAGAAATGCATTCTTTATATAAGTCCAAGATTGTAACTCTTGGGGAGAGAAACCACCGGGCCGTGGAGTGAGTGCATATGTGTGGGGTTGAGGTGAGTGGGAGAGAGGACTGGTGTGCCACACTCCGTCCCAGTGTGAGTTCCCAGAGGAGAAGGTGAGGGTGAGAGGGCAACACTGATTTCTCGGGATCGTGCCTCCGTGGCACGTCAGAGATTCAGACAGTGGGGCAAGGGGAAGATTCTGTTCAGAAATGCCTGGTGCCCCTGGGAAATCGGGCTGGGAGCGTGTGCTTTCAGTATGTCTCCTGGCTGTGTATTTGAAAGATTTACAGTATTTTGGTTAAATATATCTTTTTTTTTTTGACTAAATGAAGAGTGAACCTAAAAATTCTCTGGGCATATCTTTAAGTAGAAATGATTGAGATTTCAGCTTTTGTTCTTCACAGACTCTGAAATAAATAGTTACTATCAGAATAATTTGGTATACTTATATATGCCTAATATACCGGAAGTACTCAGTTGATTTTAACTTTTATTATTAGCACGTAGGATAAGTAATACAAATTCAACTGAATTATTATCATTACTGTGGAAGAGAGCAGGATAGTTGGACAGAAGCAATAATAATACACATAATTGAGAACATCGTCTCTGAGTTTTAAAAAAAATATTTGCCTGTTCAGATTGAAAAGGTTCCCCATGAACCAGGCAAACTTAAATAAAAGAATCCCCAAATTAGAAACATCTGGTCAAATATTTGAATTACAAAGATAGGCTTCCTTTTATTTGTTCTCCTTTTAATTTTTTCAAGACCTTCAAGTGAATTGAAAGTCAGTCGTTTATATTCAGCTTTATCAGGATAAGGTTTAGTTTATTTTCTCTTTCTGTACCTCTGTTACTTATTTTTTTCTTCCATATGCTGGCATATTCAATATGTGCCAGACCTTCTGGCTTTTCCAATATATTTGCCCTTAAGTTTGAGGTTTTTCCTCATTAATCATAGATAATGACCCAAATTAATGTGGCTTACTGACTTAAATAGGGATAAAATATTTTAGGATTTTTTTCATCTGTTTATTGCCCACTTGAACATTGTTTTTTCTTCGTAGTCACCCCTTTCCACCCGAAGTATTCTATTCTCTTATTGGAAGTTATGCAAAAAATAGCAGTAGCCTGCACTACCAGGAAAGAATGTATGTTAATGGAGACAATTACTCTTTTTAAAATTTAACCATCATATGATTAAAGGAAAAGCTACAGGCAGTCTCATGGAAAAAATGGTATTTCACCATTTCAGTTTTCTAAATATAATTATTGAAGCTTGCTGTCTCCTAGATCTGGAGCAATGGGAGGAGTGTGGAGAATAATTAGAGCCGTGATGGGAAAGAAGGCTGGGTGTGTGCAGTTGTTACTTTCCTTCTTTCTGGCTGGGAATTCCGTCTCATTTTTATGTATCGTCTAGGTTACGTTATGAGACAGAAAAAGAAAGTTAATTGATCTGAGATAGTATATCAAGTATAAATCTGTGGAAAATAGTGTTTTCATTCCAAGTTTGAATCTGGACATTATGTATTTTCCCCACAGGTGTTTCATGCAATCGGCTTGGTCAGCATTCTTGTCTCCGTTGTAAGGTATACTGGTGTATTTTTTATTTTTACATTTTGTTTTTAATTCCCATAGTCTTCCACCAGTCTTTGGATTATTTATAGCTATAAGTAATCTACAAGGGTCTTTAAACATTAGATAGTTTGATTTTTTTATTTTAGAGATTGTGGAATTGAATTGAGAAAGCTTAGTGACTTTCCAAAGGTCACCCAGTTGGCTTGTCTTCGAGTTGACACTAGTGCACATATCTTCTGAATCTTAGCTCAGAGTTTTTACACCTTACTTTTATGGAGAACATTCTGACCAAAATGATGGAAGTATATTTCAATTAATGTCAAAATGTACTTGCTTAGGAGAGTTTGAGTAAAGTGAAGATTTTCATAATGTGCTATTTCCTTAGACCTTGTCTACTGCATTTCTGTGTGTCCAAGATCACTAACAGATGCAGCCGATTCACTTCCTCTTAAAAACATTTCTCTGGTTTTTACTTATATTCCTAACCCTCTCTCTTATTTCTCTCCCATCTCTGCTCTAGTTTTATCAAATGGCTTTCAAGTGTTGTCTGTGCTGTTTCCTCTGCCTTAGATCACTCTTCCATCTTTGCTTACCCTACTGCACCCCATTCTCCTTCAGATCTCAGCTAAGACTTTGTGTCTCCCAGGAGGCCTTTCCTGAATCCCATATCTGGTTTAGTGCCTGCCCCTCCTCTGCACTTCCCTTTCAATGCGTAGTGTCATGTAATTGCCTCTCCACTTGTCTGTGTCCCTACTTATACTGTATACTCAGTGAAAGTGGATAGGCTCTTCACCATTATGTCATCAGGGATTTTGTGAATACTCATATATTTATGAATGAATAAATGTGTGTACCTGTCATACCCTGTGTGTAGTTTCTGCCTTGTGTTAGGTCATAGGTCAGAGGAGTCCTGGCAAAGACCATTTTCCTTAAGACATTGAGATCAAGAGTGTGGCCAGTCCCACCAAAACTCTTAATTTCTGCCTTAACAAGACTGTATCTTTAAATTTCCTTGAAATATTGAATGATGTCTTTGTATATTTTTTTGAATTGTTTATTTACTCGCTTATTTTTTACTTCTCCTATAGGCTTGTTTCTGTGATGATCATACAAGGAGCAAGGTGTTTAAGCAAGAAAAAGGAAAACAGCCTCCCTGCCCCAAATGTGGACACGAAACTCAGGAGACTAAGGATCTTAGCATGTCAAGTAAGGCTCTTCTTAAAATACTACTGGTGTGATTTTGCTTTCTTGCTTAGACAAGATTTCTCTCTTTTTTTCTCTTTCTATTTTTGTTTTTGCCTCTTATTCCTATTTGAAAAGATGAATGCATTCTCTTAAGCAAGTGGAATTTTACAGCCTTGGAAAATTTGTGGGTAAAATTTCTCAATTTAAGTTAGGAAATATACCATCATTTATTTTGATATTTGGCATTTGCCTCAGTTAATGACATAGTGAATACTGAAATTTAAGACCAAAAAGAGTGATTTTTCTGTTTTTGCTGAGGCTTTCTTGTTAAATAATTGAGTAGCTATAAATCCTTAATATTCAAGTGCTGGTAATCTTCAGTACTTGGAAGTCAGAGTTTGTTCTGAAGCTATTCTTAGGTGTGTGGTCTTTGCACAGCTGTACTTATTATGTGATACATCACTACTATAGGCAGTTTTATGGTTTTTATATAACTTTTCTATGAAGGAATAAAGCTACTACTATGACACACTATGACACACTTATAGTAATGCAGCTCACAATTTTGTTAAAGAGAGTTTGACTCTACCAAACATATCAGAATGCAACCATAATTCTAAATGACTGACAGTACTTTGTTTAATCAAAGATATAGTTGTACAATGAGGTGAAACTGATGATTTTGCTAATTTTTTGCACTAAACTTTGTGTTGCTACTAAGGCAGAAAAAATGAGAGGCATTGTTTTCTGGGACATCTGAATTATAAAATAGCTTTCTTAAGGAAAATGTAATGACATGAAATCAACTGTTCTGTGATTTGAAAATAAACTTTTAATTGATCAAATGAAGGGCATTTTAGTTTTTAATATGCCTTTTTTAACTTATGTTTGGAGAGTACTATTATTCTTATTTTGTTTTCCAACTTCTTCTAGATTTAATGAAATGACATAGTCATCTTTATTATTTGTTATCTATAGTGTGTATATAGACTCCACTCTGAGTAGGATAGAACTGATTGTTGTTCCTAAGGTCTCCTGTCTTTCCAATTAAATATTCCGCCCCCCGCCCCAAAGCTCCAGGAGATAGTTGTATGTCATAGTTGCACATGCTTCTAGTTGCTGTATGTGGGACGCAGCCTCAGTGTGGCTGGAGAAGCAGTGCGTCGGTGCGCACCCGGGATCCGAACCTGGGCCACCAGTAGCGGAGTGCGCGCACTTAACCACTAAGCCACGGGGCCGGTCCTCCAATTAAATATTAAGTGGAGAAATTAGCAAATTGTGGCTTACTTTTTCATTTGGCAGTAAGAGGCAGCCAATAAAGTTTATGTAATTTTATATGTTGTAGAGGGAAATGAGGACATCGAGAACTGGAACTAATAAAGTGCCATGTACAAATCTGTCTTTCGTAGCACGCTCCCTGAAATTTGGCCGGCAGACTGGAGGTGAAGAGGGAGATGGAGCTTCTGGGTATGATGCCTATTGGAAGAACCTTTCATCTGAGAAGTATGGTGATACCAGCTACCATGAGGAGGAAGAGGATGAGTATGAAGCAGAGGATGATGAAGAGGAAGAAGATGAAGGTGGAAAGGATTCAGATGCTGAGTCATCAGATTTGTTTACTAATTTGAATTTAGGAAGGACGTATGCCAGTGGCTATGCTCACTATGAGGAACAAGAGAACTAGGAGAGCTGCTTGCCCATTGGTGACAAGGAATATGTGTGCTTGATTAATTGGAGCAGGAATATGTGTGCTTGATGAATTGTGTGTGGATGTTCAAAAGTACTGTCACTTAGCCTTGTGCAAAAGACTCATCACACTGGGGCAAGGAGTAGGGCATAGCATTTTTATAGGAACTGATAATCAGGCTTATAGCATAAGAAAAATGAGTTTCAAATGTAAGATGTTTATTTATCCAAGCAATTGAAGCATCATGGATTGAATTTTTACTGATTTCAGTAATACTAGTGGGTTTTCCCAATTAGATACATATACAGGATAAAGGAATAGGAAGGTAATATATTTGTTTGAATTAAATTGCTGTTTTTATTAAAAAACAATGCTTATAAATTCATTGTCTCTGATTTTGTACAATGTAATGGGTAAAATGAATTATTGTATTTTTCCTTGTATGTCCACAGAATAAAAGTCAGATGGTATATGTTAAATTTTCATTAAATATTCATGTTACTTAAGTAGTCATGATATATATGTTTTAGCAATTGACTCATTCATTTCTTTCTTCACAATGTATGTCCTGAACAGTATGTATAATTAATGCCTAAATGTATAGACAAAGGTGACTACATAGCCAATTGTCAGAGACACAGAATCAGAAACAGTATTATTACACAGATGCTTTACCCAGGAAATTTCACTTCTCTTTGAATAAATCTAGTATTTCACTTATATACTTTTGATATTTTATTTAATTTCTTGTTCTCAATTTTTTAAACTTATTTTGGAAAGCATTCCAATATTTCTGTATAAACTCTTTGCTTCATTTTTTGTCTAATATGCGAAATAGGTAGCAGAGATTAATAGTGTGGTAGATACAAAGTTATGCAGCTGAACCCTGTCATTCATGGTAGATGGAGAATGGACAGTTGCTGGCACAAGTTCCAGGTGTTGTAGCTTACCCTGGCAGTGAATTGGATGGTGTGGTAGAAAGGAATGCATTATTGGACTCGCTGGCATTTGAGAAGTATGGAGAAAATTGGAGCTATGAGGATAATAAGGTTGCATGGCTATTGCTAAGCCGTTCTTATTCTATAGAGACATAAGGAACAGCTGAGGACAATAACAGGAAATGGAAAGTGAGGTGTGAAAGCCAGGGGGCTTCTGGGTGCATGTGAAAAAGCCTTCATCTCTCGCAGCAGGAGGGCTGAGGAAGCTGAGGACCGAGCCCAGGATTTACTAGTCTGAATGGATAAACTTCAGACAGTTGCCAGTCAAGGCAGGTCTATTACGCACAGGTCAAGGAACTGTTTGGGAAAACCTGGGAACCTGACAAATGAGGTGGAGGCATCTGAATGGATGCTGCTGAAGATTTTTACTCCCAGACTCCTGAACTTTCTGAGCTGCAGTCATAGCCCTCTCTGTTAAGGGCAAGCACTCTCCGTCCCCCACTCCACTCCCAAGCTGGGTGACAATGCAGGGGTCTTTCCCCAGGCCACATGTACCCTCTTTCAGGACTTGCCGTATCTCTAGGTCACTAGGCCTAGTATTAGGGTTAAGTAACTATATTTAGGGTTAAGCAAAACTCAGTTGGAGAGGTGCTGGGCCTGAAGAAAGAAGAAATAGACTATACCCCAAAGGAGCTGCAAGAATTGGCCAGTATGTACTGGGAGAAGCTGGAGGAGGATGCTTGAGACTGGAATCTGAGGGTGTTGATCAAGAGGGTCAGAACATAAGATTAGGGGAGGGTTTGACAGCACCCTCGTTGAGTCCTTAGGTTGTGGGATAAGAGCTATCTTAAATTAAGAAGATTTAACACCTTGGCTAGGATCCCGGGAGATGATGTGAACTCACTACCAGGATGGCTTCTAGCAACACGGAAAAAGCAATGGCCAATTCTGAGCCAAGTTGAAGTGCCAGTATTACTGTGGCAGATGGAAAGGATTAAAAGGTTGAGGGAAGTGGATATGCTGGAATGGATAGATTACCTCTAGTTGGAAGATCCATCAGATGATTATGTTCCATGGGAAGGCCCAGTGCACAAACCATTTAACAAGTCCATAAAGACATGTGGATAATGGCATAAGGGTCACTAAAATGTTTAGTGATAATTCTAGTCTACTGCTGACCGTAGAAACAAGCTACTACAAAGCTTAGCTTACCGATGGCAATGGGTAATAAGACCCTGAAATAAGTGTCCAAGTGGCAGTGTCTAATTGCAAAAATCAAGGGGTCACAGTTATAATGACAGTCAAGGTGAGAGTGGTTAACCAAGGGGCCCTGACCTGCAGAGAGTTAAGGAGGTTAATAGAACACAACAACCTTAGAGGCAAAATAAATAGGCAGCCAATAAGAGTCTGACTCAGTTTGTACTATTAGACAAAATCAAGGATGGATAACATGGAGGCTGAATGGTGGTCACCCCAATAAAAAGTTATCATCCCTTGCTCAGTTTCTGGACCAGGGTCCAGAGTCCACCAACTGAAGTCCACCAACTGAAGACTTGGCTGGGTCCTAGGAGGAAGGCCTCTGCAACACCATGCCATCTGTACAAGGCAATAATTTCCCCAGTGCTTCCCCAAAGGGACCTAGAACCATTTATTCATAATTCTATCCTGAGAAAGAAGGAATATAAGACATTTTAAGGATTGTTGGACACAGAGTTTAAATTGACACTGATAGCTAGAGATTCAAAGTGTCCTTGTTTTCCTCTGTTAGAGTGAGGATGGAATCCTGGCCAAGTTTAACGTTACAGTGTTTTCACTGGGTGTTTGGAAGGCCAAGTGGAAGCCTCTGAAACTTACTACCCTCATACCTCCTCTTCACCCTAGCTAAGACAGTAAGTAAAAACAATAGTACCTATAGTCTGGAGTGATTGCAGAAATTAGTGCCACCCTTAGAGATCTCAATGATGCAGAGGTGAAAATCCCATCATAGCTATATTAATTCACCAGTCTGGCCCCTGCAGAAACTGGATAGATCCTGGAAGGTGAATACAGACAATTGCAAGCTCAACCCAGTAGTCTTGATGGCAACTGCTATGCCAGATGTGGTATCTTTATTAGAGCAGTAATGTGTGACTCAGGTACATGAAATATAATCTTGGATTTTGCAAATGCATTCTCTCTCAATCAAAAAAGGGGATCAGAAGCAGTTTGCATTCACATGGAATAGACAATATACTTTTATAGTTTTGTCCCAGGGCTCTGTTAACTCTACCACTTCATCCCAAAGAATATGGATCTGTTTCATCAATGCCATTATGTTATTATTATATATATTATTATGTTGTGAGGCTGGATCAGCAGGAAATGGCTACAACAACGAGGCCTTAGTAAGACATATGTGTTACAGAGAGTAGGAGATAAAGCTTAAGAACTTTATGCCACATTCATAAAATTTTTAGGGGTCCAGTAGTCAGGGAGAGCATGGTGCATCACTTCTAGAGTAAAAAATTACTACATATACCTCATACCATGAAGAAGGAAGCACATTGCCTGGTGAGCCTCCTGCGGCATATTTCAGACCACGCAAAAGGCTGCCCATTTTGAGCGGCGCCCATAGTGGGAAAGAGCTCTGCAGCAGGTCCAGGTTGCAGTGGAAGCAGCCTCGCTTTTTTGGCCATAGAGTGGATGCTATTGTATCAGAGATAACAGTGGTAGGAAAAGATGTCTTGTGGAGTGTGTGGCAAGCTGCAGGAGGAGAATCACAATTCATCCCCCTGGGGTTCTAGAGGAAGGTCATGTCATCTGCTTATATATCTCCCGGGCTAGCATGGACTCCAGCCTACCAAAGCTGATGTAGTTACCACCACCGCAAAATGTCAAACCTGTCAGCAATAGAAATGAATGCTGTGCCTCTGATAGGGCATCATTACTTCATGAGGCAGGTCAGACTAGCCATCCTAGAAATGCCAGTGGTCCATTCTCAATGGGATAGACACACATTCTGGGAATGGGTTTGCCTTTCCTTCTGCAGGGCCTCATCCAGCATCAGTACCTGAGGGCTTATGGAGTGTTTGATTCGCTGGCATGAGACACCACATAATATTGTGTCAGGTCAGGGGATCATCTTTAAAGCAAACGAGGTGCAGGAATAGGCCTGTGACCACTGGAGCCACTGGTATCATGTGCTATGACACTCAGAAACTTCCTGCCTGAGGATATGTTGCAAGGGTGTGCTGAAGACATACTGAAGCACAGAACTGAAGCAAAACTCAGAGGCAACACTCTGCAAGGATTTTATTCCATTCTTCAAGTCACAGATATGCACTGAATCAAAGACATTTCTATTCCACTGTGTTTCCAATAGAGAATCCATGTATGGTGGGTTGAATAGTGTTTTAGTCTGCTCTGGCTGCCATAATAAAATACAACAGACTGGATGGCTTAAACAACAGAAATTTATTTTCTCACAGTTCTGGGGGCTGGAAGTCCAAGATCAAGGTGTTGGCAGGTTTGGTTTCTCCAGAGGCCTCTCTCCTTGGCTTGCAGATGGCCACCTTCTCACTGTGACCTCATATGGCCTTTTCTCTGTGTATGCACACCCTTGGTGTCTCTTCCTCTCTTCCTCTTCTTATAAGGACACCAATCATATTGGATTGGGGCCCATTCATATGACCTCATTTAACCTTAATTACTTCTTTAAAGTTCCTATCTCCTAATACAGTCACATTCTAAGATATTAGAGGTTAAGACTTCAATGTGTGAATTTTGGGAGGACACAATTCAGTCTATAATTAATAGTGTGCCCTCAAAATTCATATCTACCCAGAACCTCAGGTTATGACCTTGCTTGAAAATAGGGTATTTGCAGAAGTAATTAGTTAAATTAAGATGAGGTCATACTGGGTTAGGGTGGGCCCTAAATCTGAAAGCCAGTGTCCTCATAAGGACAGGAGAGGACACACACAGACACACAGTGAAGAAGAACATGTGAAGACAGAGACAGAGATTGGAGTGATACACCTACAAGCCAAGGAAGGTCAAAGGTTCCTGGCAACCATCAGAAGCTAGGAGAGAAACATGGAACACATTCTCCCTAAGAGCCTCCAGATGGAACAAACCAAACCTTGATTTTAGACTTCTGTCCTCCTTAACTGTGAGAGAATAAATTTCTATTGTTTGAAGCCACAAAGTTTGTGGTAATTTGTTATGACAACTTTAAGAAAACCAATACACCATGGGAACTGAGTGGAAGCAGGAGTTGCCATCACTCCCAATGATTCACTGAGAAACATTTGCCTCTACGACTCTGGGCTCTGCATGATTAGAATTCCATGTCCTCAAAGGGAGCACCTCTCTTCATGGTACCCAATAAGCACTCCATTGAATTATAAACTATTTCTGCCAACTTGGCAATTTTGGCTTTTTATGTGCAGGGACCAACATTCAGGAAGAGAAATCACTGTTTTGGCAGAAGGAAGTAGGGCTGCTTTTACCTGATGGGGACAGAGATGAACATGAATGGAATCCAGGTGATTGACTTGGGTTCTTTGGGTGCTCTTTTGCCTACTTGTGTCACAGGCAAACCACTCTAGCCTGTGAAGGGCATGGTGACTAGACTCGGGGATGACAGTCTAGGTCATGACACCAGGTAAGCAGCTGAGACCAGCAGAGGTAGTAGCAGTCAGGTAGCTACAGGGTTTGCCTCAGCTACAGAGCTGCCTTGGCTGGATCAAGCCCTTCCCAGGACAAAGCATGCAATTGGTGACCAAGTAACTGGTTTGGCTG